GCCAGCTGACCCGCCAGTGGAAGGTGGCAGGTCCTGCCAGCCAGCTGAAGATTGAATCGCCACTCTTTTTTCATTTACTCATCCTCATGTCTTTACTAGTGTGACTTTTGTTCTTTTGACTGAAAATGTCGAGCATTTAACTGAATGCAAGAGCACCATAAAAGTAGTCCATACATGTCCACACATGTCAGGTCTTCTGAAGCCATACATAGCTTTATTTGAGAAATGGACAGTTATACTGACCAGCTAAAGAAGTTGTCAAAACCTCTCTAAAACCAACGTGCTGACCAGCTATGACCAGGCTGGACAACCAGCTAAAACCAGCAAACCAGCTTAGGCTGGTTTAAGCTGTTTTTTTTCAGCAGGGGTTTGTCCAAATCACACAATCTATCTGAATTCCAAACCAATCCAAACCCCACTCGGTGGCGATCTTGCAAATTCCAGTGATGCAAGTATAAATAATTTACTTGAAACACTAAAATATAAGAAACCGCTGCTCAATAACACGTTATCAGCAATAAAATCTGATAATCCAACCCTCTACATTGCGAGTAAATCACTCGCATATGCGACTAAATCTTACTCTGGGCGACTAAATAATGTCTAACATTAGCCATTGGCTAATCAATTCTTAGCATATCTTATCTTTTCATGCTTGCCCAATGCCTGCACATTCAAGGAGAGTAAACAAACAAGCTATTGGTTAAGGTGGGACTTCTAATCCTGTATCAACAATGCGATTGGCTCTTCTAATTGTAAGGCGGTATCATTAATGATGATTTTTCATCCCAATTGATGATGAATGACATCTTCCATCACCATTTAAAAGTCATTTTATTTGAAATAATGACCAAACTTTATTGACTACCATTGAAGAAAAAGGTCATACAGGTTTGCCACAACATGAAGGTTAGAAAATGACAAGTAAACTTGCTTTAATTGTGCAATGCAGGTATTTAATCGTACTATTCTCCCTCAATATAATGGCCTAGTAGAATATACACAATGCGGATATACCACAAAAGCTCTATAATAAATATTTAAAGGGGTCATATGATGCGATTTTCAATTTTTCCTTTCTTTTTGGAGTGTTACAAGCTCTTGGTGCATAAAGAAGATCTGTAAAGTTGCAAAGACTAAAGTCGCAAATCCAAAGAGATATTCTTAAAAGTTAAGAGTCAACCACACCTACCTAAAACAGCTCGTTCTAACACGCCCCCACATGTCTATGTCACTATCTGGGAAGATTTGCATAACGCCGCCCAAATGTTCACGCAAAGAAAAGTATGTGGAAAATAATGTGTTTTTTAACCTTAAACTGCATAAACACATTGCATTACACCAAATACACAACATAATGTTCTTTTTAGCATGTCATATGACCCCTTTAATTAAAGGCAGGGTAGGTGATTTGGTTCACCTAAGTGTAAGAAAATGCTAAATGTAAGAAAAACAATCCTGATTGAAAAAAAGCAGTGTTTTTGTACTTTGTCTCTTTATCTGACAGTCCCTCATCACCTCATAATAACTTGCTTTCAGTGAAGTCATGGCTCATGAAAACTTATTGCATGTAGTCCCAAGTTCATCCGGATTTCATGGTGCACATAGTTCCTTGACTCATTGCATCTCGTTTATCTGATGATCTGGTGTCTTCAATTCTATGTTTATGGTTGATATTGTGTGTGTGTGTTTCCTGTAGGTCTTTGTTGTGGCAGTCTGAAGGATGATAAGATCCTGATGAAGATGGGTTTGGGACTGGTGCTTGTGGGTCATGTGAACTTCTTGTTGGGGGCACTGGTACACGGAGCTGTGCTCAGACACATAAAGGTGTTCACTTGGAACAAGAAACTTGTCTACCCCATCTCCAATGTCATCGCTCTTGTGGCAGGACTTATGGTTTGTCTGTCTCCAAAATTCGAATGTATTTCTTTAATATGTTTGTGATCATGATCAAGTGACGTGGTGGTTGAGGCATAAAGCGTAGTGGTTAAAATTTCTGCATTAATAAGCAGGTGTGTTAGTTAAAACTTCAAACTCACCTTTTACACTGAATGAGTCCACACTGTAATTTATACATCTGACCATGTTATAACCTACAGGCAATTATTGGTGGAATCTCAGCTATTGTTCTCTCAAAGAACAAGAAAAACCAGCTCCTGGCGAGTACACACAAACACACAATACTATCCTTTTTGTAATGATTGCATTTGCTCTGTTTTTGCTATTTATTTGGTGCCACTGCAAAACTTGCACTTTAAATTCTATAGAACAAAATAGAGTATTCATGTATTATTAATTTCTGAATGCATTTTATCCTTGTTGCAGAGTTGGTTTCTTCTGGTTGTGAGTGTTTTGGCTGTTCTCTTGGGTGCTGCCTCTGCAGTGGGAATCACTGTTGCCACAGTGAGGGCCATAATGTGGGAAGGACACACTCTGTTTGCCCACTGCAACCTGCCTGCCAACATGACCTACTACAGCATCACAAATGAATGCCCCTTTGACCCCACACGCATCTATGTGAGTCAGTAAATCTCCAGTCTGATGGATCCTAGTGTAATCAAATGCAAATTAATGATATGAGCCTCATAAATGACGTTTGTTAAGAGTTCGTTTTGGAACAAATCAGAATTTATAAAGGCAAAAACAAATGTGTTATGTCTTGAGAGCATGTGTACGAACTTTGTGCACTCATATACCA